TACACTTGTACACACACAACCTTATGGTTCAGCTTCTCTGGAGAACCCTAAACACTCCTTACCTAAATTAACCTGGAAGTCTGACACATTTCCTATTCTTTGAAGAAACACTACAGATTCATTAAGTAGGAGGGGTCTTGGAAACAGCAAAAAGAGTTATCTCCTTTATCTAAAAGAATTTAAAAAAAAGTGAAGGAAATTTCAGATAACTTAGATTGATGCCATCTGCTATTCTTATATTGAAAAGTTAAATCCCTATCCAGCACTTTGTTTGCATACCTTTGTAAAGCCACTCAAGAGTCTTTCTAGTTGTCTAGTTTAGATTAGTTCAGTTGCTCAGTCATGTCTGACTCTTTGCAACCCCATGCACTGCAGCACGCCAGGGTTCCCTGTCCATCACCAACTCCCGAGGCTTGCCCAAACTCATGTCCATCGAGTTGGTGGTGCCATCCAACCATCTCATCCTCTGTCGTCCCCTGATCCTCCTGCCTTCAATCTTTCCCAGCATCAGGTCTTTTCCAATCAGTCAGTTCTTCGCATCAGGTGGCCAAAGTATTGGAGCTTCAGCTTCAGCATCAGTTCTTCCAATGAATATTCAGGAATGATTTCCTTGAGGACTGACTGGTTGGATCTCCTTGCAGTCCAAGGGACTCTCAAGAGTCTTCTCCAACACCACAGTTCAAAAGCATCAATTCTTTGGCACTCAGCTTTCTTTATAGTCCAACTCTCACACCCATACATGACTACTGAAAAACCATAGCTCTGACAAGACGGACCTTTGTTGGCAAAGTAATGTCTCTGCTTTTTAATATGCTGTCTAGGTTGGTCATAGCTTTTCTTCCAAGGAGCAAGCAACTTTTAATTTCATGGCTGCAGTCACCATCTGCAGTGATTTTGGAGCCTAAGAAAATAAAGTCTCTCACTGTTTCCATTGTTTCCCCATCTATCTGCCATGAAGTGATGGAACCAGATGTCATGATCTTAGTTTTCTGAATGTTGAGTTTTAAGCCACCTTTTTCACTCTCCTCTTTCACTTTCATCAAAAGGCTCTTTAGTTCTTCTTCACTTTCTGCCATAAGGGTGGTATCATCTGCGTATCTGAGGCTATTGATATTTCTCCCAGCAATCTTGATTCCAGCTTGTGCTTCATCCAGCCTGGCATTTCGCATGATGTACTCTACCTATAAGTTAAATAAGCAAGATGATAATATACAGCCTTGAAGTACCCCTTTATCGATTTGGAACCAGTCTCTTGTGCCATGTCCAGTTCTAACTGTTGCTTCTCGACCTGCATACAGATTTCTCAGGAGACAGGTAAGGTGGTCTGGTATTCCCATCTCTTGAAGAATCTTCCATAGTTTGTTGTGATCCACACTGTCAAAGGCTTTGGAATAGTCAATAAAACAGAAGTAGATGTTTTTCTGGAACTTTCTTGCTTTTTCTGTGATCCAAAAAGTGTTGGCAACTTGATCTCTGGTTCCTCTGCTTTTTCTAAATCCAGCTTGAACATCTGGAAGTTCATGGTTCACGTACTATTGAAGTATGGCTTGGAGAATTTTGAGCATTACTTTGCTAACGTGTGAGGTGAGTAAAATTGTGCGGTAGTTTGAACACTCTTTGATTGTGTGGTAGTTTGAACGTTCTTTGGCATTGCCTTTCTTTGGGATTGGAATGAAAACTGACCTTTTGCAATCCTGTAGCTACTGCTGAGTTTTCCAATCTGCTGGCATATTGAGTGCAGCACCTTAACAGCATCATCATCTAACTGGCATCATTCTAGTTCTCTAGTTGAAAGTAAAAATATACCTGCCTGTCCTGGCATCTCCAGATACTAACAAAACTTCCAGGCTAACATCATTTTTCTGAGACAGCTGATACTGTCAATATTGTTTTACTTGAAAACCATAACATACTTCAACTTCGTTTGAGCCCGTCTCAACCTAAGCAATGGCTGTTCACAATATACCTCTTCTGTCACCTCTGACTCATCACCTCTCCGCATTCAAAGCCAATGTGTATCTCTGGGTTACATTTCAATAACCATAGTAAACAGTTCACATTCTCCAAAGAAACTCTCTACAGAGGTATAACATAAGAGGCATATGAGAAAACGTCTCATTCTCTCTGGGCCCAACCTGAATCATACCTTATGGTCACAACTTTTAGAAGCAGGCTATTAATTCAGCATTAAATTCTCCCACTTTCTCTCTTCCCTCCCCTACTCCTCTATCCTCTACTAAATTACACAGGTATCTCTAACCCCACTCTTTTTTTTATTAATTAATTAATTTATTTATTTTTTATCACAACCATAGTGTATCTTTTTTTTTTTTTTTACATGTATTCCCCATCCCGGTCCCCCCTCCCACCTCCCTCTCCACCCAATCCCTCTGGGTCTTCCCAGTGCACCAGGCCCGAGCACTTGTCTCATGCACCCAACCTGGGCTGGTGAACTGTTTCACCCTAGATAATATACGTGTTTCAATGCTGTTCTCTTGAAACATCCCACCCTCGCCTTCTCCCAGAGTCCACAAGTCTGTTCTATACATAGGAGTCTCTTTTTCTGTTTTGCACATAGGGTTATCGTTACCATCTTTCTAAATTCCATATATATGTGTTAGTATACTGTAATGGTCTTTATCTTTCTGGCTTACTTCGCTCTGTATAATGGGCTCCAGTTTCAGCCATCTCATTAGAACTGATTCAAATGAATTCTTTTTAATGGCTGAGTAATATTCCATGGTGTATATGTACCACAGCTTCCTCATCCATTCGTCTGCTGATGGGCATCTAGGTTGCTTCCATGTCCTGGCTATTATAAACAGTGCTGCGATGAACATTGGGGTACACGTGTCTCTTTCAGATCTGGTTTCCTCGGTGTGTATGCCCAGAAGTGGGATTGCTGGGTCATATGGCAGTTCTATTTTCAGCTTTTTAAGAAATCTCCACACTGTTTTCCACAGTGGCTGTACTAATTTGCATTCCCACCAACAGTGTAAGAGGGTTCCCTTTGCTCCACACCCTCTCCAGCATTTATTGCTTGTAGACTTTTGGATAGCAGCCATCCTGACTGGTGTGTAATGGTACCTCATTGTGGTTTTGATTTGCATTTCTCTGATAATGAGTGATGTTGAGCATCTTTTCATGTGTTTGTTAGCCATCTGTATGTCTTCCTTGGAGAAATGTCTGTTCAGTTCTTTGGCCCATTTTTTGATTGGGTCATTTATTTTTCTGGAGTTGAGCTGGAGGAGTTGCTTGTATATTTTTGAGATTAATCCTTTGTCTGTTGCTTCGTTTGCTATTATTTTCTCCCAATCTGAGGGCTGTCTTTTCACCTTGCTTATAGTTTCCTTTGTTGTGCAAAAGCTTTTAAGTTTCATCAGGTCCCATTTGTTTATTTTTGCTTTTATTTCTAAAGTTCTGGGATGTGGGTCATAGAGGATCCTGCTGTGATTTATGTCGGAGAGTGTTTTGCCTATGTTCTCCTCTAGGAGTTTTATAGTTTCTGGTCTTACATTTAGATCTTTAATCCATTTTGAGTTTATTTTTGTGTATGGTGTTAGAAAGTGTTCTAGTTTCATTCTTTTACAGGTGGTTGACCAGTTTTCTAACCCCACTCTTCATGCCCAAAACCAGTGTGTGACAGACTCCTAGCCAAGAAAGAGACTCACCAAAGACTCACCTTCTTGTTTTGAGCATTCCAACCATGAAGGGCTGATAAGACCACACCAATGGTGCCCCTCTTGTCACCCTTTTTGGTGCACCAACTGTGGTTACATGTTCCCATCATTTATTTTTAAGACTTTGAAGTTCCAACAACATTCTTAAGCTTCTTCATTTATTCAACTTTAAACACTTAAATGCACCAAAGAGCATGTGCATGTACATGGGGAAAAAGGCTGAAAAAAGGCGGCCTATCTCTCCTAGGCTAAGTTGTTTCAGCATGATCACAAAAATCAAAATGACTCCAAGTAAAGCCAGAACCAAGCAAACAAAAAGGTTTCAGAGATAATAAATGGACTTTAAAAATTAAAATGAAACAACATAAAGTCTCAATTCCTGAAGACCAATGAATTATTAAAAAAAAAAATATGAATTAGCTGTAGAAGCAGTAATAAAATAATCCTATTTCTGTGAGGGAAATTACTTTAAGGTCCCCAGGATAAACAATGAGTTGAGAATCACTAAAAAACCTTAGAACCAGAGATTTCAAACATCTGTCTTTCTGAGCCTTTATCCTGCCCAACTTATTCCCAAAAAGGAACCAGAATCAGATTCCTACCAACATAAGACTCTTAAGACATGTCATTTGTCATGTTGGTTTCTGCAGAAGCTGCATCTTACGAAGTAGTCTTTAAAAATAAAAATGAGAAAACCAAAGAGTACAATTAGAAGCCTTCCCACCGTAACTTTGTTTTGATTTGCTCTCTAAAGATTTAAGGGAAAAAAAAATCATTAGTCTCATATTCCTGATTTAACATTACCTCACTCCATGGCGAATGTGGCCAAGAGTAGATGCTTTTGTACAATTAAAACAGAAACACTTTATCAGCAGGACTTTAGGGCTCTGGTTCCACTGTATTTACTATAAAGTACACTAAAGACGGTGGACGTTGAAGAAAGAGGTGGAAACAACCATCACAAGGTAACATGACAGACAGCAAGACCCTAGGCAGACTTTAAGGAACCAATTCTATTCTGGCAGGGGAAACCCACATAATTAACCAATTCTATTCTAGCAGGGGAAACCCACATAATTAAGTTTCACACTTACAAAATTATCACTCTGAATTCAGGAACAAGAGGCATTTGGTTCTAGATACAATTCCATCTGTAGACACTAACTTTAAATTTAGAGAAGAAAAACACTCAGTGAATTAATATTATGAGTTAGGGTTTCTTAAGTGATTCCTAAATCCACCTACTATTTTTTTTGCATTGATACAATTAATAGCTGGGATAGGTCTGTCATGGCCCTGGCTCAGACGTGCTCTTTAGTCTCAGAAAGTCCATCGGTCATGGAGCTGGCTGTCACTGCTAAATCTGCTGCTTGCAGAAGCCCCCGAGCTCTGTGTTTGCTGAGTAGAGTCCTCACCATTTAAGCTCTTCCTACATACAGGACACGCGTCATGCTGAAACAGAAAGAAGATACAAGTCCATGTGAACAGCCTGACCCGAGAGGCTGGAAGAACTAACTAAACACTTAAGAAACCTTGACAGTTAGCATGTAGATAAACAAAAGGGGCATGCATTCTCACAAAAGTACCCGCTGGGCTTCAACTGTAACTCCAGGACATCTCCCAAATAGAACTTTTAACAGAACAGACAAAGAATTCGAGGCAGCAACTTAACAATAGCTAACACATACTATCAAACAGAACTAACTAGAAACAATGACCTGAGATGGTCTAGAGCAGGGGTCAGCAAACTTGCTCTGTTAAAAGGAAAAATAGTAAATATTTCAGACTCTGCAGGCCACACCACCAATGTTCCAACTACTCAATTCTGCTGAGGGAGCACAAAAGTAGCCATAGACCATCTGTAAACAAATGAGCATAGCTGTGTTCCAATGAAACTTCATTTACAAAAATAGGTGGCAGGCCACAGAGACCTGTAGGCTATAGTTTGCTAACCCCTGGTCAGAGAAGTTCTGAACAGATTAATAACCTAAAACGCAGTAATGGTGCTACAAGGAGTTAGCCAGAAACTAAAATCTGATTTGCTTGGCTCTCTACTACCCGTTAAGTATGCCCTTACTGATCCAAGACATGACTGGCACAGGGGCCCCATCACAGATGAGAGTTGTCTGTACTTACCAGTTCTAACCATGGCACAATACAACTGCTGTGGAAGTAGTGGTTGCAAGGTAACTGCCGGACTTCCTCCTCAACTGTGTAATCCTCTTTGCATACTGGACACTCTAAGCCCTTATCTGTTAGAGAAGGAAATGCCTTTTAAAATAAACAAGCAAAAAGAAGGAAAAAAACCCCAGCCCATTGTCTTTACCAACCAAAGGGACACAAAGAAAAAACAAAGTGCGTCTAAGGTGGAGGCAGAGAAGAAGCAGAATTTTATTTCAAAATGGGGACAGAGGTGGTAATAGCCAGGGATATGAAAAGGACTGATGAATGGGCCTGTTCCAATAAGGTCCAGACAACAACTCTATGAGGCCTATTTTTCAACATAAAGAGTTGGAAGAACTGGGGCTTAAATTATCTGTTAAGTAAAACAGGAAAAACGTCTTCTCAAATGTGTGAAAGTCTTCCTGCAGTTTCTACTTAGGAAACACTGGCAATCTGTCCACCACAACCAAAGGACTCATTTCAGCAATCTTAGCAGTTCTCATTCAATGTGTCAAGCCACTTTCACTCTACTACTTTCGACATTACACATCCTATTTCATCATGGTTAACCTAAAGCCCTTTCTACAAGTTGTTTATTAAAAGCTGTACCAGGAGGTACTGCTACAGAACTGCAAGGCCCAAGGGTAACTCAGGCTCCAAGTCCAGAGACAGGAAACCTTCTTCTGAGAGAAAATGGCTACAAACTGAACTAGGATTACCAAGCAGCAAATTCCAAGTTTCCCAAATTTGGCTAGTAACACCAGCTAGTCTATCTCTCCAGCAGCTGGGGTGTGTATGCTACATGCTCCACAGTATTCACAGCATTTGGAGTAAAATACCACTTAAAAGATTCACTCCCTCCTCTCTACTCCCACGATGTTTGCCCTAATTTCAGCTTTTACTTCTCATGCCTAGTTTACTGCAATAGCCTCTTAGGTAACAACCCTGACTCCAAGCCTTCCAAATATATCCTATACTTTGCTACCAGTTAGTTTTACCAGCTCCACAGCAATTCCCAGCTCATCTTTTCTTGGATTCTCAGTTGGCATCCCCAAAATCAACAGATTCAAAATTTAAAAAATCACATCACCTCCTTATCCAAACCAGGGCCTGCTCACAATTCTTCCATCCTTGATGATGTCAGTACCACCTCTGTAGTTACAGAGTTGCAAAACTTTAGAATCAACTTTCCCCCTTTTCCCCTCCTTATCTTATGCAATCAAAGAGGAAAGCCTTTCTTCAAAAATGATCTGAGTCTACCCTTTCCTTTGTAGCACTGCCACCATCACCTGAACCCCATCAGAATGTTGCAATAGCCCATTAAGAATATTTCTGCTCCTTCCCTCTTCCAATATTTTAGATACCACCCTCCAAACTAATCTTCCCCCAAAATCAAATTCCTTCATTCCTCCAGTTAGGGACCTACAAAATTTACCTACTACCTCAAACACCCAGCCCTAACTCCTCTGCCAGTTTCAGGGTCCTCTACAACAAGGACCTCTCCAGTCGTACGTATCCAATTACATCTCTGATTCATACACACCTCCCATCAATCCACAGATTAGATTCTATTTCAGATCTAATGAGGTTACACTCCTTATACCTGATTCAGACTCCATGTCCATACTGACGTTCTTCATTGGTTCATACTTTGCCATAAACAGAATAATCTCTCTAAGATGGCCCATCCTGTCTTTTAAAATCTTCTGACTCTCTAAAGTAGAATTCATGGGGAAAGAAACTCCAAGCCCAAAATAATGTCCCTCATCACTAAGTTCTTTTCATGCTTATAAATAAAATATCTATGTCTAATGTACCTAAGTACCTACCTAATTTGTGAAACAAATTCCTAGCCTCCTATTTTTTTTCTTCCTTTTCCCCCAGAGTATCATTTGCTCAAGTACTTTTTATAATAATGTCTAATCATTTGGTGAGTTTTGCTTCCTCTAGTAAGTTCTTCAAGAAATTAGGTTTTATATACCTGTGTACTTCTTTATTTCCTGCATGGCAACTAGAAAAATAGCATGGTAATTGATCAGGAATTACCTGTTGACTAACCCTAATGAAGGGATAGGTACCCTTCCTTTTGTAGGAAGTTTAGGAATGCTACAGTTTCATGGAAGATTTTTAATACAGTACATGGCTCAGATTCTGAACAGATATAATAAAATGAAACACACATATGAAAATGAACCTACCAACTTGTTCCTGAGTTACTGTCACTGTTGCAAGAGATGTGATCTTTTCCTTGTCAGCTGGGGGAGGCCCTGTATTTTCCAGTTGTCCTAAAAGCTACAAAAAAAAAAAAAAAGGCAAAGAAGAAGTGGCAGACATCGAACTATCCCTAGGGAGGGAGCTGCTCCATTTGAGAACAGTGCAGACATCAGAAATGTTAGTTGCTTTGGCTTCCACAAGGCTCTGAGAGGCTTGGGTTTGCCCTTTCCTGTTGCCAGAATAATTGTTTTACAATTTCAGAGTGACATTAGTATAAGCCTACAGACAGATCCATCATTGCAAGGCTCACCTCTGGGCATAAAGCAGCTTGGAGATAGCCAAAGGGTTGTGATGTCACACATAAAACTACACCTTAACAGAAAATGATACTTAACCAGTTTAAAAACTTCGTTTTGCTGAAAGAAAGAAAAAGGTGAGAGTATGGAAAGTAGCATAAGGTAAGCCAAGAAATAGGTAAATTACTGCCTACAAGAAGACCTGGATATAAATGACATGCTTTCTAGTCTCAGCAATCCACAAGAGAAATGAAAAACCAATTAAAATAAACATAAACAAGTGGAAGCAATTATTCATGGCATGGGAATACCTTTTTCTCTGCTTCCTTCCCCTACTTTGCTCCATCTAGCAGAAATTCCTGCTTCAACATGTGAGGAGACCTTTCTTTTTTGTGAAGTACTTGTCAATAGAATCCTCATAGGAATGAACAAGAGGCCAAAACAGAAAATATTGTTTGTTATAGAAGTTTTTTCCTTTGGAGTTGAAGCTATCTTCTAGAAAGTTCCCTAGGACCAAGAAAGTACATGGATGCTGAGCTAAACCCATAAACCATTTATCTCTTTAGTAAAACAGAAACCCACAAGCTCAAAATATTAGGGAAAGCAGAGTGACTGCCATTCCAGAAAGTAGCAGAAGGAAAGCAGGAAGCCTGTGGAACCGTGAGACAGACTGAACAGACACCCTCAAACGGCAGCTCCTCACCTGGGTTACAATGGCATCAAGCCCTGTCTGACCCCAGGCATAGTCCCCGGGGTTGGAGTGCAGCATCCCGCTCCTATACATGAGATGAGACAGACAGCATTAGATGGAGTGACCAGGCTCCGCCTTACACCACAGAAAAGCTGGCAGAGGAATCCTGCTCCCTCTCAGAGCTGGCACGTCACTAGTTCTCTAGAACCAAGTGGCAAAGAACTTCTCAGTGATTTCAAGGTCAGATTATCCAGAGGCAGTCTCTCATTCTCCAGGAATTTCTGCTTAACTGTATGGAACATAAAATGTGTAGTTACCTAAGATACCACCTGACAAACCAGAGCAAAAAGAGTGACTCATGGCCTGCTGGTTAAAAGTTTGTCTCCTCTGTGCCCATTTTAATTAAACATAGATGGAGCTGCTTTTTAAGGAGATTTTTCCCTTCCTAAGCGGCCAAAATTGACAGCAGATTTCCCTCATTCTAAGGGGCAGCCTGTGGCCCTACACAAAGAGCAGCTTTCAAGTAGAGAAGCAGCCACAGCATATCTCTGAATCACAACTTAGAGAAGTTACAAAGGGGATTTGGCAGCACCTCTTTCTGGAGCTGTTGGTGTACTACCCTGCATGACAGATATCCAGACTCTTTGGCTGGAACATGCTTAAAGAAACTAGAGGCTGAAAAAAAAAAAGAAACTAGAGGCTGGAAAACAGGGTAACTGTGTGGAAGGACCAAGGTCCCTCTGAGCAGAGAAGCCTTCTGGGGTAGAGTCAGAAGTGGCAAATAATTGTCCAGACAAGAAGACATTTCATCTTTAACCTGTACCGTAATTAACTGTCACTCTGTTACTGAATTTAAGCCTTTTGTTTCTTCTGAAAAAACCTTCTTACTTTGAGAAAAGGAAGTGAAGCAATGTTTTCAATTTCAGAAATTCTTAAGGAATAAAATCTTCCCATATAATCTCGAAGAGAAACTCACAAATCAGACACCAAACTTGGTAGAGACCACCTTACTCCCTACCTTAGCACGACCCTCAGACTTGAGTATGGATGGAATCAGACACCCTGCAGGACCAGGATGGCCCTCATCAGCCTGAATTATACAAAAGTAAGCTCTGATTAAGTCTGGGCTCAGCAGACAACAGCCTGACAATCACACCTGTACACTCACCTGTGCAGTTCCTTTTGTCTCTCATTACGGCATAGAAACTACAGTACTGGAAATTATGCTACTCCAGGAGCGTAAGACAGAAGGCAACTAGTTACTTACCAAGAAAATGGGGATCCAGGAATGAATCCTGCAATGATCTGTTGTAGTACTCTGTTGAAGAAAAAAAATTAGGGAAGACAACAGACTCATGAAAGTACTCTATAGATATCCATGGCTGACTCATCACCAACTCCTTCCCCAAAACACAATGGCTTTTCACTGTATACAATAGCACCAGAAATCAGTGCTACCTGGTAGACTGCTACTTTGCTATTATGGCTGTCTTCCTGAGCTATGCTGCCTTATGTAATAATAGATTTTTATGAATTAAGCAGGAAAGGACTCTGACTGTATAGTTAGCGTTCAAACTATGATTCCTGGATCCTTGGCAGCAACATGCGAGGCTTAAAGAGATGCTAGGCCAGTGGGATTCTGGACCCACCTCCTTGCAACAAGAGTAGTTCCATTTTTATGTGTTATATACATTGTGCAAAACACTATTTAAAGGTACAGCATCCCCGCCCACCCCTTTATTTGGCTGTGCTGGGTTGTCTTTGCTGCTCGGGCTGTTTTCTAGTTGTGGTGCTGTTTGTAGAGGTTTTTCACTCCTGTGGCTTCTCTTATTGCACAGCACAGGCCCTAGGACATGGGGCTTCAGCAGTTGTGGCTCCAGGGCTCTAGAGCACAGGCTCAACAGTTGTGGAACACGGGCTTAGTTCCTCCATGGTGTGTGCGATCTTCCCAGACCAGGGATTGAACTCATATCTCCTGCAGTGGCAGGCAGATTCTTTACCACTGAGCCACCAGGGAAGCCCTAAAGAGCCTTTTTAAAAAACAATTCCATGATAGCTAACTAAGACGCTCACAAGTTACTCCTCTTTTGGGTGTAGGTTGGACTTAATGACTTTTCTTTCTTTTTTTTTTTTTTTATGTACAACTGACATATAACATTGTATTTTTTTTTCAGGTACAACATGATTTGATGTTTGTATATATCACAAATGCATCATAATAAAACATTCATTACCATACATAGTTATAAAATTTTACTTTCTTACGATCTACTCTCTTAGCAACTTTCAAACACGCAATACACTATTAAAATACTGTAATGTAATTAATAGTAATGAACTATACTCGATCTCATTGTGGGTTTCATTTACATTTCCCTGATAATACAGTCATTGTGCTATATGTTATATCCCCAATATTTATTTTATAGCTGGAAATTTGTATCTTTTGACCCCTTCACTGATTTTACTTCTCCCCCAACCCCTGCCTATGGCAACCCACCAATCTGTTCTCTTTTATCTATGAACCTAGATACTGAATTCTTTTTTTTTTTTTTAAGATTCCACCTATAAGATTATATAGTATTTGTCTTTCTCTCTCTGATTTATTTCACTTAGCATGTCCTCAGGGTCCATTCACGTTGTTGCAAATGGCAAGCTTTCAGTCTATTTTAGAGCTGAATAATATTCCACTGTATCTATACCACAGTTTCTTTATCCATTCATCCATCAGCAGACCCTTAGGTTGCTTCCATGTCTTGGTTATGGTAAACAATGTTGCAACGATCATGGGATGCATGTATCTTCTCAAATTTGTCCTTCTGTTTTCTTCAGATGAATATCCAGAAGAGGAATTGCTGGATCATAAGGCAGTTCTTTTTTTTTTTTTTTTTGAGGAACCTCCATATTGTTTTCCACATTGGTTATACCAATTTACATTCCCAACAACAGTATATCGGGGGCTCAGTCTCTTTTCTTGACACCCTCATCACTTGTTATTTCTTATCTTTTTGATTATAGCCATTCTAACCGGTGTGAGGTGATAGCTCACTGTGGCTTTGATTTGTATTTCTCTGATGATTAGCGATGGCAGAGCATCTTTTCATGTGCCTGTTGGCCAGCTATATGTTTTTTCAGAAAAATTTCTATTCAAGTCCTCTGCACATTTTTTAATTCGGATGTTTGTTTTTATTGTTGAGTTGCATGAGTTCTTTGTATCATTTTGGATATTAGTCTCCTGTTGGATATATCATTTGCAAATACTTTCTCCAATTCAGTTGGTTTCCTTTTCATTCTGTTGATTTCCTTAGCCATGCAGAAGCTTTTCATAGTCTGTTTATTTTTGTTTTCATTGCCTCTGCTTTTGGAGTCATCCAAAAAAATCATCACCAAGACTGCTGTCAAGGAGTTTCCTGCCTGTTTTCTTATAGGCATTTTACAGTTTCAGGTCATGTGTTCCAGTCTTTAATCCATTTTGAGTTAATTTTTGTATGGTATAAGACACTGATCCAATTTCATCCTTTTCCTTGTGGCTATCCAGTTTTTCCAACACCACTTATTAAACAGACTGTTCTTTCTCCACTGTATATTCTTGGCTCCTCTGTCATAAACTAACTGACCATATATGCATAGACTTATTTCTGGCCCTCTGTTACCTTGATTTAGATGTCTATTTTCATGCCAATACCATACTGTGACTGACTTCTTTTTTTTTTTATTAAAAATTAAATTTATTTCATTGCCAAAGTTAAGGAAGTCAAATAAGACACAAAGGCTTACTTAAACAGATTCTTAAAGATTCTCTGTCTTATCCAACCTCCTGTTCCTGCTCCTGGGAGGGAGTCACTTTCTGTGGTTGCTTCTGGGATTTTTAAATATTCATGTTCCTAAGTACTATCATGATTAATTTGTCTCTTGATCAATCAGCTGTAGTCATTCACTTATTAATTTACTGATTTCCTCTTGGAGTAGATGAGCATTTAGCTCTGTGAGCTCATTACTCCAGTCTCATCCTGTCCTCCAGCTACTCTGCTTTCCTCTTCCAGACAGAGTCTGCTCAGTGATTCTGGCTATATCAGTATCAGTTGTGACTTACTTCTTAACAATAGAATATGGCAGGATAATCATGACTTCCAAAAGTCAAAGTGGAAGTGGAAGTGAAGTCGCTTAGTCGTGTCCAACTCTTTGCGACCCCATGGACTGCAGCCTACCAGGCTCCTCCGTCCATGGGATTTTCCAGGCAAGAATATTGGAGTGGGCCGCCATTTCCTTCTCCAAGGATAGGCCATAAAAGGCATTGTGGCTTCTTCCTTGCACCCTCTCATGGATTACTTTCTCTGGCAAAGTACCATATCAAGCAATCCTGTGGAAATGCCCACATGATAAAGAACTGAGGCTTCCTGGCAATACCCAGAACAAACTTGCCAAAATCTGAGTAATTCCCAATTGATTCTTCAGAAAACTACAGCAACAGCCAGTGAACTGACTGTAAGCTCATGAGATTCTGGGCCAGAACCACCTAGCTAAGCTGCCCTCAAATTCCTGACCCACTGAATCTATGAGATAAGAAATGTTTGTTGTTTAAGCCTCTAAGCTCTGGGGTAACTGTCATATAGCAATAGATACCTAATACAGATTCTGATACCCAGAAGTGAGTGCAGGCATGCTAAGCTGTGTCTGACTCTTTGAAATCCCATGGACTGCAGCCTGCCAGGCTCCTCTGCCCATGGAGTTTTCCAGGCAAGAACACTGCAGGAGGGTTGCCATTTCCTCTTCCAGGGGAGCTACCAGACCCAGGGGTCAAACAGACGTCTCTGTGTCTCTCGCACTGGCAGGTGGATTCCTTACGACTGGGCCACCTGGGAAGCTTGCTGTAAAAAAAAAACAAAAACCCCCTAAAATGTGGAAATAGCTCTGGAATACAGCAGAGGGCAGAGGTGGAAGGAAGAGTTATGGGTGAGTACTTAAGGGAAAGTGAGGAAAACAGGAGGGAAAGAGATCCTTGTTATGTAGTGGCAAAAGCCTGTCATCAGATGGGAAGTAGAAGTTAAGCTCGTGAATGGGATGATAATCTAGCTAACAAGACTTCCAGACAGGAATGTTGAAGGTCCCTTTTGGTTCCATCCTGCTGCATTAAAATGCAAAAGAAGAGGACTACATTAAAGGAAGAATACTTAAAAAGGAGTTAAGATTGGATCATTCTGAAAATTCCCAGCCTCTCCAGATGGCAAATGATACTAAAATTAAGAAATGGTTTTTTAAAAAAAGAAAGAAAGAAAGAAATGGTTTTCAAGCAAAGATCAAATCATGGGCATTGCCAAAACAAAAGAGTGTGGCTATAAAAATTCTTCATGAAGACCTCTGAAAGACAGTGCCTAGAGAACTATTCAATTAAACAACTGTGGATGTTGTATTATTAATAGTTTCCTAGGGCTGCCATAACATATTCCCACAAACTGGGTAGCTAAAACAACAGGAGTTTATTCTCTCATAACTTTGGAAGTCGGAAATCTGAAATCAAGATGCTGACAGGGGCCTCCCTGGTGATTCAGTGGTAAAGAATCCACCTATCAGTGCAGGAGACATTAACAGATGTGGATTTGATCCTTGGGTTAGAAAGATTCCCCTGGAGGAGGGCATGGCAACCCAATATTCTTGCCTAGAGAATTTCATGAAAGAAGATCCTGGCAGGCTACAATCCATAGGGTTGCAAAGAGTCAGACACAACTGAAGCATCTGAGCACACACACACATAAAAGACCTTACTTCCAAACAAGATCATATTCACAGCTAAGTTAGGAAGTTAGGACTTGAACATTGGTGGAGTATACAGGTCTACCCACAACAAGTATTGTCCTTCAGCAATATTGGCAGAAGTCCATGGTAAAAAAGAGAGTACCTAAAAAAGACTTGCAAGCGTAGCTTTTGTTAATGGCATGAACTTTACTAATACTCACAGGAGACCCAAAGTTTTAAAAAGAAACACTACCACCTTAAATTGAAAAGTACAGAGGCAGTACAAAATGAAAAGAGATCTTTTAGGCCCTGAAAATTCTACTGGCAAGATGCAGGCTAAGAAAACTATGGAGCTGCAAATCTGGACTACTTTTCATGGAAAAAAATGACTCACAGGGTGGAATCAAGAGCCAGGAAGGAGGAAACAAGAGCCACAGAGAAGCATTCCTGGGCAGAAGTAGAATGAAGTCCTAATCAAGGACCGTCCAACATTTACCCAGACAAACATCAATATTGCTACGAATTTCAGTAACTTCTGTGTGCCTTACATCTTCTCCCTTTCTAAACAGAAATCTATATACCTGT